AGTTAACACGCCACTGCTTTATTCGTTATCATGGTTAACAGTTCTGGCTGCCATAATCTCGGACCCAGGTTCGTTTCTCACAGAAGGCATGGATATTTGTAAATATACGATTATGTCGTATATTTACAAATATCCATGCCTTCTGTGAGATTCTGTGTAATTATACGATTATGTCGTATATTTGTAATTATACGATTATGTCGTATATTTGTAATGTCGTATACTATGTAATATACGTATTAATACGTCTTTGCGGCATAGGTAATTTAAAATACGCTCTAGTCAAAAGGCCTCTCAAAAGGTTGGTGGCAAAGGAAAAGCGGTAAGACACCCTTCAGTCCGTTCCTTAGAATATTCTCCATCAAAACTGGAACAAAATTGAGTTAATTCGTGTTGTCATATATCAGATGAATACCTTAATAAATTCTTGAACCTCAACCGGAAATCCAAATACAACAGATTAGAAACAACAGTTTAACACGTTGATCGTCTTCAAGGTGTACTATTTCTGTGTTTAGATTTCACTGGAGAAAATTTTCATTCTTGAAAGTACAGGCTAAACAATTATAGGTAGGACATATAATGCTTCATACTTTTACAACAACAGTAACATAAATAATAGTAATGCTAATGATATTTCTTGATATGATTACCTTTGACGTGGTAAATTAATCTGCATTGTTTTAGCAATCATTTTAAAGCGCGTAATGCCATTTCTTTTTGGCCGATTTTTTTCTCCTTTTCTAAACTTTTTTAAACTTGGTACAGCTTAAATATTTCTTTGATTAGTTCCAATTTCATATAGTATCTTAGCGAGGAAAAAAATTACATGTGCAGCATTAACAGGCGTAGCATCCATGGAAAGAATTTTAAAATGAGCACTAAATTTACAAGAATAACGTGTTTTTAGCACTTAATAAATGGGTAAAACTTGAAGGAAAACTCCGTTCCCAATTGGATATTATAGGGGAATCAGAAATTCAGACAGATCAGATTCAGGAGGGATTCTTAAGTTTTTTGTAAGCTGTACTTTTTTTATTGTAGATATTCTTCTTCTTCTTCAATAGCCAGACAGCCCAGGATAGGCCCTTGCCTTCCTCAGAATCGAATTCCAAGCTCTTCTATCCCTGGCCATGGACATCCAATTGGTTATTTTTAAAATTCTTGAGAATGTTTCCAAACAGTCGAGCCACCTAAGTTTAGGTCTTCCTCTTTTTCGAGTGCCGAATGGTCTGGCCGAGATCTTTTAATTACTCGATTTCCATCCATTCTGCACAGGTGTCCTGCCCATTTAATTCTCTGAATCCTTATATATTTGACTATATCTTCAGAGTTAGTTCTTCTCCAGATATTGTTACATTTTATGCCACCAAAAATACTTCTCAAAATTTTTCTTTCAAAGACAGAAATGATACTTTTAGCTATGTAGATATTACCTCCTATTAAAGGTTTGGTTATTCCATTTACCTATAACACCTTATACAGTCATTATTTTTTTTGGAGCAGAAGACATGAAAAATGTGCAGTGTCTTCGCCGAGACTCGAATCCTGGACCTCTCAAGTACGCGTTGAGTATGTTTCCAATTACACAAGGTATACGGAAAGGAGGAAGAAAACACCTTACATACACTCCCTTTTAAAGGGCAAACTGTGAATTAGGGAGGTCCAATCGTCAAATCCTGGTGGTGATGAATTATGGCCCACCAGCTTTTAGTCTAGACGTCACTGTAGAGTCATTAGGTTATTTTGAAACAGGAGTCATGGAAAATGTGCAATGCCTTTGCCAGGACAAGAAACTTGGACCTCTCGAATGCGCGTCGAGTATGCTTCCAGTTACACCACGAACGCATGCTGGAAGGGGAAAGAAAACAGCTTATAACCTTTACGATTTTCCTGTTTGTGATCATTTTATTTACAAAATTTATTTTATTTTACACGCTATTTTTATGTTAATTCTTTCTTATACTTTCTATTCCCCCCCTTCAGCATTCACCAAAACGCAAATTAGCTTGAGTTTAAAGTACCGGTGAATTTGTCAGTGAAGGAGAGTACTATGATAACCTGAGCAGCTACTTCTAGCTGTAGTAGACAAAAAGCCGTCCACCAAGCCAACCTATGGATTGGTGAGCGAATTTTGTATCTACCTGGGTGCGTGAATTTAATTCTCATTGTCGGACCTCAATGTAGGTGAACCTTGGAACCTGAATCTGGTTTTGTTGACTTAAAGACCTTGAGTTCCCACAATTAACGTTGGATAATAATCGTTGATTTTTTGTTGCACTGCAAAGCGCATATTTTAATAAAACGTTTAATTAAATTTTACCTTTTGCCTGTACTATTCCAGTTCACTCAGACTTCGCTTGAGTTGAGAAGACTTCTGCTGACTGCGATTCGTCAAAACAAGGGAAAATTAACTAGTAAAAAATTTAATGATGCAACAGGGATGTAGTTAACCAGATAATTAAGATAATCCTTACAAAGTAAGCATGAACACTTGATTTTGAAATTTGAAAAATAGATCCATGGCTCGTTTGTTGTTATGAGTTTCCCATATCAGTATATTAAGAGAAGCTTATAAAAAAGCCATGAAAGTTGTTTCTTCACTTTTAGAGATTTTCCTCTCAGATGATAGCATTTAAGTTTTTTTAATTATCCTTTCTTTAATGTATAATACAAGCCAAAACGTAAAAATAAATAAATAAAAGTCTGAAAGGTTTCAGATTTTAAATTGCGTCCAAAGGGACTTTTTTTTTAACGTTTTGTGTGTTACCTTTATTTATTAAATATCATGCTCTACGTACTCAAACCATAAAATTCAGCTCAACAGCAATATCGCAAAATAATTTTAAAATGATAATTTCGGATACATAGGCTCGCGCGCTGGAGATAAAAAAAAAATTTTTTTTCGTACAGTGTTGCCATTGCTCGCTTTGAAATCGTTTAGTTCTTTTATTCAAAAATTCCTTGCTTGCTTTGAAATCGTTTAGTTCTTTTATTCTTTTTGCAATAGATAAGTTGCGCATTGTTTAAAACAGCTTCCTAATTAAGTTAATTTTACATAATTATAATAATTTACATAATTACAGTCATTTACAAATTATCATTTGTTTCTTTTCCTACATCTGTTCATTTAAAATTGATTAGTGATATAACACAAGATAAAGGCTCTTATCTTATGTCATCCATATCTCTTAGAGGATAAGAGGCTTCATGAATTCCTGAGGTGACGTAGAGTTATTACAAGGGTAACTCTTTATGTTTTATTATAATAATAATTTTAGATTTTCTATCATTAAAGTAGTACATGCAAGGGTAGCAATTTTAATATGTTAATATGATAGTAGTATTAGTTTAATATGAATTTTAAAACTACGAAAATGTAAATGGTCTAATAAGTCTCCAAAATTTTATACAATGCATATTGTAATGATTTTTTTAACTGGAAACATCAAAATTATTTTTAATCCAAAGGGGCTTTGTCCTTGAGGGGCTGTTAACCAGAGAACAGGGGCTCCATTACCTAGCTGACATGATGTCTGCCTTACACGGATTAAAGCCCCTGCCTCCAGAAGCTATTTATTATCACTAAGCAAAATAAGTTTACAGTGGCATACAAGGCCTTCAAGAACACAAGGATATAAGTAACATAGTCATTAATAAACCCTAAAGAAAGCATGTTACAAGTAGTACCTGTAGCATTCAAACAATAAACCGAGTATACTTTCAATTATTTGTTTCTGTTTTGGAATTTTGCGTTGAAATTTTAAAAAGCTGTACCACTTTTCAAACTGTTGCCACCGAATATTATCGCCCTGTATTATATTTGAAGAAATTAAATAATGAAGAATCTGCATAAATGTATATATGTTTGTCGCATTGTGATAAAACAACGGTACCTAGAGCCATTCAATTTTGAATGACGTAATCCTACTGTGAATATAGGCATCTGGAGGCCAAAATTTGAAATTTGGAATTTGTTTTATGATCGATTTCATATCTTGTAAAACTTTAAAGAATTTCTGATTAACAAACTCAAGGATTTCAAAGCGAGTAATTGCAAAGTTGTACAGAAAAACATTTTTATCTCCAGGCGTAGACTCGTATCGGAATTCTAGACTTTCAAAAATTTATTTGCGATATTGGTTACTGAATTTTTGTTTAAGTGCGAAAAAAAACATGAAAAAAATGAAGCACGTTGAAGAAATATCTCATCATCATTAGAAACATCCACTTTCAGAATGCTTTGATTTAAATTACTAGTAAAAATAAGAATCATTGCTTTATAAATATGTTTCTCTTTGACTCAAATATTTCTTCTTTATCCTATTCGAAATGAACAATTCACAATACAGAACTAATATATTGCATTGATGTGACAAAAGCTCAGTTTTGAAACTTTTACTTACTTAGCCCCTTGTATTGCGTTGATAAACCGAGACTATGCTTTCATTTTTATTGCATATCTTGTGACTGTTTAAAACTCGGCATAATTTTTTTTTTCTTCTGTTAGCGCAATTCTAACCAGTATTTTATTATTACAGAGATTTCTTCGGTGTTTTTTTTTTTTAGAAATATCTGGAAGGTTAAACTGAACGTTTCATTACTCATTTTGAAGATTCTAGATGTATTCTACGCAAAAGAAAATGCTCATAATTGATTAGCAAAATAATTTATCTATGTGCTTTGTTGTACTCTTGGTTAATTTTCGAGTTGTTGCTGATCTATAACACTTAATTTCTAGTGCAGTATTGAAACGATTATTAACTTTCCGCTTTTTCAAAGAATTTCGTAATTTAAAATCTGAAACCTTTCAGATTTTCTTTTTGAAAAATATTTTTCGGTTGACGGTATCGCCGAAGGCCATTTAACCAACTTTCTTGAAATCGTTACTTTTTTAAAGTTAAATGCACATTCAGACTGCTTCTTTTCTCAAGATTCCAAAATTAATTTGATTTTAAATAAGAGGATGAGGAGTATTCTTTGATTGGTCGAACACTTACCGCAGGCTTTGAGGAACTCATCGAAATGTTCATCACTGGACACCAGCTTGTACTTGCCGCAGATGGAATCCATACCCGATTCTTGCTCTCGTGCGATTAGGAGTTCGAATGACTGTTATCCTTCTAACCCGCAGATAGCCGGTATAACGAAGTGACAGTAACAGAGAGCGAATCTGGCATCCATCAAGTCCAACGTTTATTCAGAAAAGAACCAGCGCCAGTCTCTGACTTCAAAACGAGATCAACTCTCATTGCCAATGGACGAGCACAATAGGAAGGGAGAAAAAAAAAAAAAAAAAAAGAAAAAAAAAAAAAAAAACTGATTCTCCTTTTCTTCTTTCATGAATAATTTTTTTTTAAGTCCCTGTCGCATATTGCAGATAATATTATTGAAGTTATTAGAAATATATTTTTGAATAGTTGATTGTTTCTAGTGATTACGGCTTAAAATGAACTTTTTAAAGGGATAAATGAGTAACATGAGGCGATAAATGACCATAGCGTAATATTTCATTAAATATTCATTGATATTCTCACGAAATTATGGAAATGTAATTTGAATGATATTCATGAGTCATTTTAAAATTTCGACGGTACAAGCTTGTCATTTAATTCCTTTGTTACGTAATGTTTGTATAAATATCTTCCTGCTTTCGTGATTAGTTATTGTATCGACAGATACAAGCTAAAATGAAATAAACATTAGTTTCATAATTTCTAATCTAAAATTAAAATTATTATCATTAGCTGTGTGGTAAAATGGCATAGGGGCCGGTATTTTTTAAGCCTATTTGTAAATGATAAAAACATATAAAAACATCTATCATTTAAAAATAGGATAAGAAAGTTCAGGTTACGTTTCAAGGTGCAAATGGCTAGCCTATATATCTTACGGAATTTTATGCAAAGTATGTATTTATTGATTTAAAAAAAAAGTGTTTCAAAGCGCGGTTGCTCTACCAGTGGTAAAGCCGCTGAGCACTGGTAATTCTACTCAAATTCAAATCTTGGTGAACGGACTGGCTGCATGGGAGCTTTCGTGACTTTCTCCTTCCACAACGCCGATACGAGCCAGTTCTCCTTGTAACATCCGCCACGAAGGCATCCCTTCCCTTAGGCTTATGTTTAGGAAATTACGCAGAAGTTTGATTTCCGCTCGACAAATAATGAGATATTTAATTTCAAAATTTGTGGTATTTGACATCATTTTGAGTTTCTATTGAGGAGTCAGTTAATAAACAAATTCGAATAATTCGGAGCTGATTTTTCTTCTTCAGATGTTATTCAAAAATATTCTTTTTTATTTACTAGTACTTTTATTTTTAATTTTGTTACATATTTAGTATGCCAAAAATATTTTCACACGTTTCAAAGTCTAAAAATATGTTATTAATATTTTCATGAAGTCTTATTACTTAAGAATCGTAATTTGGCAATCGCACAAAAATTTCGTTTGAAAGTATAAATATTTTTCTTTTTAATTAATACAAATAGTAGTTCGTTTTGGCTATGTACCAATATTGAAGCCAATCAGTGCTATTCTAGAACACAAATTCAGTTAAGATTTTGTAACTAAAATCTTACTTTGAAAAAAATTATATTGATCAATATTTTCTCAATAATTTGCAAAGCATTCCTATTGTAACTTAATCTATTAAGATTATAAATCTTTCGCTAAATGATATCTATATATATATTTTATTTTATTTCATAAGATAAATTGAATTTAATTAAATTTAATTTAAATACAAATTTTAATTAAATAATTCTTTGCGCCATTGCTGCAAGGAATGAAATTTAAATTTAAACAAATTTAAATTTTAAATTTTAAACAAACACGTAAAAAAAAAAAGCAAATTTAAAGCCAAAAATAATTTTTTAAAAAATTTTAAAAAATGTGCAAAAAAAAAATACAAACATATAAAAGATTTAATTCTCGAACTAATCTACAATATCATTTAAATTCAGAAGCATAAGCAAATCAAGTGCAAAACCAATCCATGAAAATAAATTCACTAATTTAGCAAATTTAAATTAATCCAAACAATTTTTTAAAAATGCATAAGTGAATGACTGTTGAGCAGGCAGGAAACAGACTTATCAAGGGGAAGTTGCCTCCAAACCTAACTCTCCAATCATTCAATTCGTGTTTCGTCATTCAATGCAGGCAAGGGTAAAAGTCAAAACCAAAAGTAAAAAGAGAAGAATGTCCAAAAAGAAATACCAATAAAGAGAAGAAACCCAAAATAAAGAGAAGAAGACCTTAGAAATTAGCATTTAAGAATTAAAGTTCTAAAAGGAAAATACTAATGAAGTCTTTTGAGAAACAAGCAAGTAAAGTCAAGTATTAAATTAAACTTTTTTTAAAAAATAAATTTTTTAAAAAATTAATTTTTTTATAAAAAATAATCTAGAAACCGATAAATTTTAGAAACCGATGTAATTTGAATTTATTCTCATGGATAGGTTTTGCACTTGATTTGCTTATGCTTCTGAATTTAAATGATATTGTAGATTAGTTCGAGAATTAAATCTTTTATATGTTTGCACATTTTTTTAAAAAATTTTTGGCTTTAATTTTGGCTTTAAATTTGCTTTTTTACTTTTATATGTGTTTGTTAAAATTTAAATTTAAATTTGTTTAAATTTATATTTTATTTTAGGTATGTACAAATGTTAACATTTCGCTCTTCAAATTGTATAGGGTCCGTGAATATTTCCGTAATTTTAAATATCTCGGTCAATTTTTGTCTTAAGGGAGTGAAACTTCTTGCGTATATTTTTTATAACGAGCCCAAAAATTTCCCTAACTATAAGTACAGTGACAGAAGAAACGAGTGAAAACTTTGATTTCGTAATTTTGACAAAAATTTATTTCTTTAAGTTTAAAAATGGCAAAACATGAATCTTTGTATCATTTAAAAATTTTTATAATTGATGGTATATATCTACAACCAACGTTATGAAAGTAAGGGCCGGACAAAGGACTTCTGTGAACACGCTACAGATTTTGTTATAACTAATTTGCATAATATTGTGCATAAAAAGAGCTCCCAAATGGTATGAATCGTATGCTATCACTGCTGTTGTGGCAAGCATTTTTTTAATTTTTTAATTTTGTGTATTTTACTTAGACAATTTTGTTTTAAGGTGAGTGTTTGCGTCAATAATATTCTCGCTCCGTCAATCATGCTGCCACAACTAAGCAAACTTAAAATTTTTATTTTTAGCCAGGGCTCGTTTAATTGAATTTCTGTTAATCTACCTCGGGGAGAAGACATGGATGTAAATTGTCTGTCCCTTTACTGGAGCCTTCGGTGGTGCACCTGTTAGGTGCCTCCATAATAAAGTGGCCAAAAAAAATTCCATACTGTAAAGTAATAACAAATGTGAGGAAATGCTTGACATTTAAGCATTTAGTTCTTGAAATAAATATGTACATAAGCATAACTTTTGTCTCTTAAAGTTATTCTTGAAATAATGAGTACCGGAAACTTACTCATGTAGTTTCGGTTGGCTATGAAGAAATGTTATCCAGTTAAGAAAGCAGACTGGATGCAAAACCTTTGTGCGCGAAGTATGTCTTAACATATCAATAAATTCTGCTATTTTTTTCAATTTAAAAAAAGTCTTTGCAAAAATAGAAATTCGAAAAATACTGTAGCATCTAATCGGTTTGCAGAGATCTCCCTAATATCTAACTTAGACAAATGATCAGGGAAACATTAACTCTATAAAAATAACAGCTCCCAGTATCGCATTAAATCTGAGGATTTTTCAAGTATTGCTACCCTAAGTGATTTTAAAATAAATATAATTGCATCAATCAATATCGGTAATAATAAAATAAACACTTTGAAGAAGAGGTGGTCTGTTTCACGCCCACAATGTGCCTGCTACACAATTCCGTTTGTCTATTTTTTATTCTTCAAAAATGGAGTTATTCTTGCAAGCAATATTTTTTTTTCTTTCAGTGCGCCTCTTTGCTACAAAAGCAATTTAATTCGCAAACTTTATTCATTGAATAGAATTTCATCAAATTTATGCTTGATTTGCATGCTGTATAAGAACAAGGAAAAGTAGAGGGGACACCAGGTATTCGCCATGGGCAAACAAGTATTGTCTCCTACCACTAGCTGTGTATCTTGAATGAGATACATTCCGATGACCTCATTGATCACGTGACTTATGTATACCTTTTGTAGACAAACAATGCAGATGACATCAGAGTTCACGTGACTTATGTACAGCTAATGCAAACAAACAAGGTCATTCTTCCTCTTCTTCTCTTGCGGAATGTATCTCATTACACCTCTGGGATTGAGTGAGCCATGCTCGTACGCACGTGCAGGCAACATCGTCTTGCTACTTGCCGCATGTAAGCCACCGCGCATCTCGTCCAATGTCCATGGCATCCGTTGGATGTTTAAAATTAAATACATAAAAAATACATGCTCAGCGCTCACAGGCGCGGTAATTTGAAGTATGATGCGAAGTTTTCAGAAGCTTGTTACATACATTAAACTTGAAACATTATTTTGGTTTCTATACACAATTAATTGTGCTTTTCTACCTTTGACATCCATGGAATATATTTATTGCAGATTACATTACATAGTACACTTTTATGTCCTAGCTTTCATAATTGCTGCTATTTTAAAATATGCTGGCTCTTAAGGAATGAAAGGTACTAGTAAAGAGAAGATGCAAATTACTTTGATTTTTACATTGTGTACCTTGGTATACAGTTTAGTTGGTGCTCAGCATATTTGAAGTTGTTGACGTTTTTTTCGGAAGACTAGGATCAAACTGTGGCGCAAAGATCAATACCTCGACTTCTAGGTACTCTATTATTTTTATTAATTTCTTTTTTGTGCTCCAATTTTGCACAGCGAATCTCAAGTAGGAGAAAAGTTCAATGTGATTTGGTATTTTGAGGGGCCATTGATTTGTGAGTGAGCAAAGGAAAGGAAAGTGCTTTGGGTCGTCCCTTTCCCTACATTGGCAGTTGTCTGTATAGCATATATTTCTGTTGTAGAAGTGTGTGGAGAAGAGACCGTGACCTGTTATGAACCAGTTATTAAATGGGTTTGTGAATAATTTTTCTTTATCTGTTTTCGACAGAAACTTTGTAGGTGCGTCTTCCTTGCTCTTCATTTTCCCAATTATCATGCCAGTTTTTTTAAAGGTCCTTTCCAAGTTTTGACTTCAAGAGGATGGCCATGGAATTC